ATGCCACTCAACATGAAAAGATGCAGTTCCAGCTTATCCTGGGAGTTCTTGGTGATCCTCTGGCGCAGCTTCTCCAAAGTCCACTCATTGTTGAGGTTCAGCTGCCGCAGTTTGTTCTCACTCACCTCTGACAGAAAAACAGCAAAGCGCTTGGAATACAGTGGGTCATACTGATCGATCAGATGGAGCATAAAAGCAAAGTCATTTTTCACATCGGGAATGTCACTGTAACTGCTCTCCTCCCGGATGGACTCAAAGGAATATTTCTTGAGTGATCGCCTCAGCATCCACCACAGTGTGTACATGCAGATCAAGCCATAGAATATCACCAAACTGATGTAGAAAGACGCCAAGATTTTGAAGAGCGTGGCCAAAGGATGAGCACAGCGGTACATCCTGTAGCCAGTCAAGCTCTCAATGTCCACTTTACAGTCAACATCAAATGTTATGTTGTTGACATAGTAAACAGTATAGCAGATTATCAGAATGAATTTGATCACTTTGATGATGGTCTGTCTCATGTACAGGCGATAAACTATATCTCCCTCCTCCACATGCGTGCGGAACTTTTTCACTTTTTCAAAGAGTGCTTTGGCCTGTTCACCTTCCTTTTTGTCCAAGACACCAGTCTCAGACCGGTCCACAATCCCTTGCTCAATTCGAGACTTTGTTCTCTGCAGCATGGGAACAGTGGCTTCCACATCCTCACTGACTGTGGAGGATTTCTTGTCCATGGAGCCATTCATTTTCCCAAATGCTGGCTTGGTATCACTTTCTTCCACAACTGTCTCTGATAATGCCCTCGTTGTCCACGGAGAGTCAAAACACTTAAGCAAAATAGACACAAAATGCTCCAGCTTGGAGCTGGTCCTTGGGAATTTAAACCAGAAATTGCTACAAGCCAGGAAGATGAGAGTATGTAGCAGCACCAGATAAGGAAAATATTTGGCAAACCAGTGAAGACGGTTCTCATAACACACTGCATCCACATAGTTATACTGGTGCCGGTCCAAATCATATCGGATTCCCGTAGGCCCTGTATCAGTAGGGGGAACAAGACTAGAGTTGTAGTAGGTACGCTCTGGGGTTGCAGCTGTCCAACCTCTGACTGAGTCATTGCAAGAGTCTTTGGTAACCCATTTACAGGGCAAACAAATCATTTTGTCTTGGGTGACCTGAAGCGTCCCTCCAAACACTGCAATCATCAGCATCACTATGGAAATGTAGTCCGTGAAGACATCCCACCATGGCTTCAGGATGCGGTATGCTGGCTGGGTGTCAGCAAAGTAGCGCAATTCAGTGACTGGAATCATGATTCACCTGAAAGGAAACCAGAAGCAGGCATTACTAGCTTAAACTGTTTTGTTCTGCTTTTCAAGAGGGCATCAGGAAACTCATGTTTTAAGCACTGGTACACCAAGAGTGGAATTAGCTGAGGCCCAATTTCAAGTCACTTGGAGACAAATCAATGGGGCTTCCTGTGAATAATTTGCTACAGCTGAGGCTGTGAAGTTTGTTGCTGTTTTCCCTGACAGATGAACTGTCACAAAACACCAGAGCTGGTACTTATCACTAGCAGTCTGTGGGGCAAGACATTCACACTTAAAGAAAGCTTGCAGGACAGACTTAAACTACCCGAGCCAGAGTAGTATTTGGAAGTTTACTGTTTTATCTAAGGGATTTTATTTCAGGGATGAAGGCGTTTTCCAGCACTATTAGAAGTGATAAAATCCATGCACAGAGCATAGTCATCACGAGTTTGTTATTGTTTTTACAGAGCTAGAAAATAATAATTCTGCATTTTTGTGGTTCTCAAACTGCAAGGGCAAGGAAGAAGATTTACATACAATACAGTTACATTTCCTAGAACCACTTCATTGATGCAACTCAACATCATATTAATAAAGCAATAGAAAAGAGAACAGTTGCCTGATAATCATGACTTTTCCTTCCATCTAAATAGTTTTGGCTCCCCCTCCCTTTGCATTAGTTCTCCAAGGAAAGATTAGTTACTTGCCCTCTAGCAGATCCAGTACTGAAATCCTGTAACAGCTGCTCTTTGCCTTACTTACTTCAGAAGCAGAGGAAGACATACTTAGAATTCACTTCCCTGACCAACCACTCCCACCTAGAGTTCATCTCAACTGGGATTTAAGTGTCACAAAGGAAATCAAAAGGTTCTGGGAAGCAGAGGCCTTATGGCAGTGCTTGTTCTGTCCTTGGGACTTCCAGATGAGACTTTGAGCACGTTCTTCAACAAGCCATAGAAAGCCCGGAAGCCTGACTGATGCATGGATAACTGAGCTCACAAAATTCCCCTATCTGACAGGCAACACAATTGAAGAACATAAAGTCATTGTAACTTGTTCTGATGACAGTGAAAAAGCAGTAATATCACATCATACTTGCTAGCAAAGTTCAGGAGTAGGACAAGCACTAGTCTTTCGGTCATTTTGAAATGCCCATTAATTCAATTGTAAAGGAGGAAGAGCAAAAATTTAATCATGTTTCCCCAAGCCATAAGATATCATTTGTACAGACAGTCCCAACAAGTCCTGGGGGACTGCAGGGTCAATAGGTTTCTATATACCACTGGCTGGGAGAAAGGCTTCTTTGACAAGTGGGGTGCCCACACCACCTGCTTTGGTAGAATTCAAGTTTGTATTTAAAAAAATCAACTTTGAGCACAGAACTACAAAGGAAGCCCTTCCTAATATGAACTCAAAAAGCACCACATTCCCCAGAGACACTAAATACAGAACTCTCTTCCCTGGTTTGCTGCTTACAACAATAAATGGTAAAATGCCAGCTTTGACTTCGTGCTACTTGGGAACACTGCAAGCAACTAGAGGTGGTAGACTGAAAGATGACAGATATCTCTGAAGAAGTGTTTACCCTTCTGCCCATCCAGTTCCAATACTACATTAGTCCATCACAAAAGGCAGACTGGGGTAACTCTACATGCAAAATTTTTTTTTTTTTTTGAGTGGGGAATTTTGAGAGACAAAATGGCATTTTAGAATTTCAGTAAAACAAGGCAGACCAGCAAATCTAATAATTTACCGACCAGTAAACTCATGCAATTGTGGCATAGGAGGCAGAAACAAGGGTGAAAATAGCCATAGACAGCACCATCAGAAGAAACTACTATCCTGGTAGGCTGCAGAGCACTAGCGAAGTGGCCGACGTGCCTCTGCAGAATGGACTGCATTGAGCAGATTAGGGCAAGAGGATTACACATTCATAGGGACAGGGAAAGAACAGGCAAAACTGAACATCTTCTGAACAGCACCTGAGCAGCTAGAGCAAGAGCGACAGGGTGGTGTTCAGAGCTCTCCTCCCAGTCCTGTTGCCAGCTTGCTGCAAGGCCCTAAGCAAGGCATTTCAGCCATGCCTCAGCTTCCTTCTCTGAATACATCCACCTCAGGGAGAAGACAGTCCATTTGCAAGGTACATTTGAGAAGAGCTGTCTGTGCATGCTACAGAAATACTAATTCCAGGATAATACAGGGTACAGAAGGTTTCTTTATACCCCATGCACTCCAGAACACCTCAAGTGAAGCCAGCAATTAAACAGTTCCCTGAATCACAGCTCATGCTGATGTATGTCTCCTCAGTTTGTCTACACAGACAAGAAAATTCAAAGTCAAAACCCACTGCATATCTGTATTTTCTGTAGGAGAACCTATAGCTCTGACAGAGGCCTTTAATCACTGACAGAAGCCTTTTGCTATCCCAGCCCTCTTACCCATCCATTCCCTCCCTCTTCAGAAGCACCAAAACAGGATATATACCAAATTTTTTTCTTTTTTGTTTGGTTGGGGGTTTTGTTAGGACACCCACTACACCAGGCTAGGAAAGGAAGACAATTCATAGAGAAACCAGGAAGTTCAGCTACTGAAAGGTTTGAGAGCCAGGGCAGGACCGTCAATATACTGCCGCACCACAAGGAAAAACAAACAAGACAAGAATACACGTGCCCTCCCTGTCACCCTCTGCATCCCTCCCACCGTAATTAGACTGAGGGAGCAGAGTCCTGCACTTCTACAGTCCAAATAAGAGAAAGCCTGGAAAGCTTTGCAAAAGGGGAACATAAAAAGCTACTGCAGTTATCTGCTGGAACAGTTAACTTTGACACGGCTTAACTTCTGAAATCCAAATGTGCTTGCAGGTGAGCACAGTTTCAGTTCTACCAGACTCATAACCCAGGGGGGGGCTTTGAGAGCCAGAGGTCTCACTAGACACCACCCTAATGCTCCACGAGAGTCCAATGGCCATCTCCCAACAAGTACACACCTTTCTTAAACACTCTTGCCAGACACGATGGAAAGCTTTTGTAGTGACTCCTTCTAAACTGCATCTAAGGGGTAACACAAATGCTGCCATACCATCCATTGTTCTCCATAAATGCTGTGTAAGAACCTATTCCTCTTTTCAGGAACATGCAGTGAAAACACTGATTGTTCATAAAAGAGCTGCTCACTATTTAAACAACTCCTTACTCCTCCTACCCCACACCATGGAAAAAAAATTATATTTATCTCTTTCCTTCTCTTGCCTAGATACCTCTTCTCCCCAAAGATCCTTCCTCCTCCCTCCAGTACTTCATCACTCTGTAAGGGAACTTTTGCAGAAGTTGTCAGGCTCCTCATAGTTACCCCTAGGAGGCTTACGAAATAGGGAAGATCTCTTTTCAGGAATTGGGGTCTCATGACTAAGGCATTTGCAGACATGAGTTGTAGTGCTGGGTTGCTAGTTTTGCTCAATCCAGGAAATGCCTAATTTATTCTCACAAGAAATTAACCTCCTGCTCACTTTGATTTGTATCTCAAGGTAGCTAGGAAGGAAACCAACAAGAAATTAGCACAGCAGGCTCCCTAATTCCATCTACCAGTTACATGGGGTAGGAAATCTCCCCTTACATTGTGCACCTACAAAACAGCTAAAAAAAGAAAAAAAAAAATCATCTGAGCATCCTATGATAGTCTATTACAACTCAGTGTCAGCAATTAAACCCCAGTAGGGTGGAGCAGGAAATCTCCTGCCTTCCAGTAACAATGACAGGGTCACTGGAGGAAGAAAAGGACATTCACAGCAAGTCCCCACTCCAGCTGGCAGCAGCAGAGACCCTGTTCAAATCCCAGAACAACAATAAAACTAGAAGCTACCTTTACAGAAGCTGGAATTTGCCATGTCTTATCTAATCTTACTCCCAGCATCTGCAGTAAAAGGGAAAATTGCCCACCAAAAACTTGAGAAAGTAAACAGGAAAGTTGCATCCCTCCTCACCCAGATTTCCCCTGCATGTAATCCATTTCTAGTTCCTGAAAGACAGTTCTGCATCAGTATGCAAGTGTCATCTTTATTTTGTGGACATCATTTTGTAATCATTTTAGAATGTGATTTTTATTGCAACACTCTCCCTTCTGCATTAGAGCAAGCAGTTTCGCTGCTGGGGTTGATGGCAACACCAGACTAACTCAGAGAAGTCAGATTCTCAAGGACCATCTCTGCCACTTGATGCTCCCCTGCACAGTAAGATTCTTCCCATAGAGACTGTGATTCCAACCAATACAGAAACCAAGCAGGTAGCTGGAACACAGACTCTCCCAACAAGTATACAGGCAGCAGAACAGAAAAATTTCAGTGAAGGATTTTATTCTGGCATAACACTAGGAACAATCCTTGCATGAAGGCAGCTGCCCCAAAATTAAGTTACCTCCCTTGTGACCAAGACCAGACCAACCATTACAGGACCAGCAGGCAGAATGCAGAGATTTCAAGCTTCTGCTCTTTTCAGAAGTTGAACTCCAGT